ACAAAATTAACCTAAAATACAACTAATTGAAGTTGGAAATTAGAATCTTTACCCAAGAGGCCAAGACCAAGAAGGAACAAACGAGAGGCGACTAGGCGAGAGCCGAGAGTCTGAGCGTCGCCAGTCGGCAGTCGCACTCACACACTGCACAACAGCACAGTCGCCAATCGCCAGTCGCACACAACACACTAGCACAGTGAGTCGGTCAGTCGCAGGCCCAGCTCGCAGGCTCGCAAGTCGCAGGTGAGGTCGCAGCGCCGATGAAGAAGAAGAGAAGAAGTGAGGTCGCAGGCAGGGCAAGCGGCAGCAGGCTCGTCGCTCGTATGCGGTATGCGTATGTCTAATGTCTTCACTCTTCACAACTTCACTTCACATCGTTTCCTGCACTGAAAAGGGGCCTCTTACCTCATGTTGTTGGGGGCCCAATTACATCTAATTAAAAAATACAAGTAAATTTTTTTTGGGCTTTCCTATTTAATTTTTGTTGGGGCCCAGGACCCCAACCATCTTCTACTGCGTCCGCCCCTGATATCCACGGCTTTTATGAACGTACAAGCACGAATATATCCATAAATTTGGGTAATAGAGTCGGAATTTAAATTTATAAGTTGCTCGGGGTAATATATATATATATATATATATATAGAGAGAGAGAGAGAGAGAGAGAGAGAGAGGATTGTGTAGGAAGGAAAATTATGGTAAGAAGCGTAAGAAAATATCTGACCCTTGATCACTTTTAATCTTATGTCCACTCATGAATTGCATTTTAGATGAGAATTGATCCGGTGCATCTCATTAGTGTTCATATTCAATTATGATTGATCCATGGGTAGATGTCTCTTTCTTACGCTTCTGATGGTAACTTTCATTTTCATCGGAACCTAGCTATATATATATATATATATATATAAAAGGGAGCGTTCAAATGAAAATCACTCTCATTTGTAAAAACCGTACAAACCACCTTCATACGTCGATTTCATTGTTTAATCTTATGAAAAATTTTCATGAAATTGTTTTTAATCTTGTGAAATTGTTTCATATAATATTTTTTTTGATKAATTTGTTTCATATATGGTTATGAAATTGCTTCATATAATATTTAATGAAATTTTAATGAAACTGTTTCATGTATTTCTCTAAAATTAAAATAATGAAGATGATAATATCCATGATTAACACTCTCTACAATAAAAATGGTTAATCAACCTCTCATAATTACAAAAAATGAACAAAATGAAAAATTATGATTGGTTGAATGAGGTTTTCACGAATTTTACAAATTGAGCTAAATATAAAATTTTGTACCCACTACAATGCAGCTAAATATAAAATTTTCTTGTAAATAAAAAATTAATTAATTATTTATAAAATGTTCGACCCTTTAAATTATGACGTTGTTTGAAAGTAAAATGATATTTTGTTAACTAAATGAAAAAAAATGAAAGTTGAAGCCTATAAAAATCATCCATCAAATAGGATTTTTTTTTAAGAAATAGTTTATCTTTAAATCTCAAAAGAATTTGAGGACTTTATTTTGACAGCTTCAGTCTTCCTCTCATCTTTGAAAGATCAACAGTAGTTGTAACATTAAAAATATCTTTGTATTACACTTTCCAAACAAAAAAAGTTACAAGACGAACTTATCGAAATAGAACTATGTAAAAAGACAATGATGTATTGAATATTGAAATTACTCTGTGAGTTTAAGCAATTTATTGCATCTACAAAATGTTGGATTAGCCTCTTTAACATACACCGTCTTGGAAACATAAAATAGTTGATGAGTGAACATTAAGTGTAGATAGTGCGACTTTATAATGTCAGGTTGGCCAACATGTATGATGTTGAACCTATTGAAATCATTTCTCAATGTTTTCTTCCCAATAACCTCTCTCCGCTTATTCTAGATAATCTGCAAATAATCAAAATTCAACCTCCAAGAGTTTTCATGTTTGAGACTTCATTGGTGTCAGTTTTGATGTCTGCAAAATTTATTGGCTTCTCATCATGTCATCACAATCAACAAGAGCATGTTAGAAATAACATTGTTTCTGGAATATGTTGCAGTCAATTGTAAAATTTTGGTGTAACCAGAAACAAAAGATTAATACAACTATTTAATAAAGATATGTTTTTACTTGGATGTTAATCTGAATCTATTGCCCTGCCTCCAAGAGAAGAAATGGCACCAATCGATTCAATAGAAGGCATTAAGCAGACAGAGCGAGAAGAGAGGATATCCTTTATCCTGTTGCAGCTTTCATGAAGGCTTTCATTGAAGAATCGAAAGAATCTACCCAGTCTAGGGCTGAAGGGGCACGTTATGCATAAT